GTGGATATGTGAGCTGGGCAATATCTGGGAGAAATTCATTCATGTAGTTGACTATATCGAGAAATTGCTGGATCTACTTCTTTGAGAGATTTGCATCAGAAAAATCTGTAAGTGACTGAGCAATATGAGGTTGAGCAATGTACTGACCATCTTTGAGATGCATGCCTAAGAAATCAATTTCTGTAGCACCAATGAGCATCTTTTTCTCTGAAAGCATTATCCCATACTGTTGAACTATGTGCTGGAACTTATCCAATAACTGTGCATGAGATGTATCATCAGGAGAGAACAGTAAGATATCATCGATGTAAATCAAGGCATTATCAAGAATTGGAGCAAATATCTTGGTCATGGCTTTTTGGAACAATGAAGGAGCAACTTTTAAACCAAAAGGCATTACGGTCCACTGGAAGTGGTGTTGAGGAATGCGAAACACCGTTTTGTATCTGTCTTATGGATGTATACCTAGTTGCCAAAATCCTGCCTTGAGATCAAACTTTGAGAAGACTTTTGCATTTGCTAAATTTACGAACAAAGTTTTTCTATCTGGAAGAGGGAACTTATCATTTGTAAGGAAAATGTTAAGAGGCTTGTAGTTGATTACCAATCTGAGTTTTCCACGAACTTGTTCTGAACGTTTGTTGACATAAAACGCTTCACACGCCCATGGAGAGGAGGTTGGTTCAATTAATCCTTGAGCCTGGAGAAGGGAACATTCTTGGATTGCTTGCTTGAAATGATCTGGGTTCATGCCTGAATGACTAGCTTTTGTAGGATTGGCATTTTCATCTTTCTTGAAGGGAAGGGAAATGAAAAATTCAAGGTTTTGCCAAAGTGGGTGATCATATTTCTGGAGAAAATCTGAGTGAGTTTCTGCACATGAAAAGTGAATGAACTTGTGTTTGAAAACTTGAAAAACATCTGGTTGAAGGGTAAGGGTAAAGAGGTTGGGAAGGTTTTTCCAAGGTCTGAAATAACTTTCAAACTTGATACCATTTCCACTAAGCTTTAAACCTGGTATACTGGTAACAATATCGAAACCAATAACAAGGTCTTTCTGGGGAAGTGGAGATCCTAAAATCTTTTGAGTTATTCGACAGCCTGGAAGGATTTGAAGGGTAACAGGATTGCTGATAAAGTCTGTAGAAAATACATTTTCATCAGTGGTTTTGAAGAAGGTTTTCTGTTTTGTCCAAAAGTGTTTGGGTAAGACAAGAGGGTTTGCTATGGTTTGGGCTGCACCAGTATCAAAGAAAGCTGTGACTGTTATAGGAGGGGAATGTTTGTGAGTGAAAATCTGAACTGGAGCTAGGGGTAATTTTGGAGGTTGAATGGTTTGGATTTTTTAGAGTTCTTGAACTGACATATACTCATAACATTGATCATCTGTGAAATCATCTGAGTATTCTGAGTAATCTGAATTTGCATACTTATCATTATCAAACTGCTTAATCATAAACAGTGATCTTTCATTCTGCTCATCATCAAGGGAGAAAATTGATTCAAGATCATCATATGAGAGATTGATACTTGAGATATTGGCAATGTCTTGGATCATTTTGACTGATTTTTTGTCTGACTTTGGGCAGTTCTTTGAGAAATGTCCTGGTTTTCCACAGAGAAAACATTTTGAGCTTTTGATCTTTGGATCTTTCTTTTTTCTTGCAAATTTGAATCTTTGAAATCTTCTGGGTTTGTCAGCATATCTGGAGAATTTCTTGTGTCTGGGTGTGGAGATTTGTGGAGGTCTAGAAGGTCTGAATCTTCTGAAATGTTTCTTTTTCTTGTTGCTGCAAAAACATGTGGGATCTTTGGAGGAACATTTGATTTGTAATCCTGAGGAGGAGTAAGAACAGGGCTTTTCAAGCTTTTTGGAGTTGTGCATCAAGGTTTTGATGTATTTATGCTCTTTGCAAATCTTATCAAGGGCTTTTAGCATCATCTTGTAGATGTTTCCAAGGGTCATAGATTTGACATTAAGGGATCTGAGGTTCAACTAGGACATCTAGGAAACTTATATTTCTAAAAAAATTATAAAGTATGAAATATCTGATGATTATAATTGATGAAGGTGTTCTTGTTCTATCTACATCTGTAATTTGACTATTGGCCCAACAATTTGGGCTCAAATTGGCCTAGCAGGCTGGCACTAAATGGGTTTCTCTACTTATAAATCATACCAAAGCCCAAATAGTTTTTACTTTTTCCCGTAAGAATGCAGGAAAGTATCTCATATTTAATTATCTACCAAATTCCAATAACAAGCTAAACTTATTTCTTATGACATTATCAACCCAGCTATGTTGTGTCACTGTAAACTTTATAAAAGTGCATTTTTAAGGTTTAAAGTGATGAGTGGTTTTCAAACTGAAATATTTAATATAATATTTAAATTTTTTAAAAAATATTAATGTGAAATTTAAAATATAAATATATAAACTAAAGTGTTATTCATTTAACGTGATTAATTTTTAATTAGGATACATTTAACTAAAGTGTTTTGGTGTTTGTCAACAACTAGATTAAACTTTGTCGCTTTTTAAACAAAATTCCAATGGTTCATTTCAAGGAATACACACAACAGTTTCTCTTTACTTTCCCTCACAAAATGAGAAAAGCAAATTTGTCGCCATTCCTTTGACCGTTGGGGGGGTCCCATAGTTCTATTGGGACCCATCTCAGAGACTGCCACGTACATCTTTACAGCTAGCCCAGCCAGAGGTGCACGACAGCACCTCAAACAACCAGCTTATTGAATTTGTAACTGGATTTCAATACCGCATGAGCCGTTTTAAAACCGTTAGATTAATGGTTTATCAGCGACAAAATCTAACAGATGTCGGCGTTACGTCAGGGCCCCCGGCCTGATTCCACGTCTTGAAGAAGTCAAATTTTGGAGCTCTGACTTTTATTTTGTGCGTTGCATCATAACTGAAACCTATGAGGAAGATTTAGAAAATTTTTAATTCAAAAATTGTGGTGAGGTGTTTGTCCTAAAAAAAGATGTAAGTTTTTTTTTAATTATAATTATAACCAAGTTTTATATTTATAAGATAAATTAAATATTTTAATTATTATATTATAATTAAATTATAATAATTAATTAATTAATTATAATTAGATAATTAATCTCAAACATAATGAAATTTAAATTTAATATCTTAAGATTTTAGAATTTTTTTTACTAATAAACCAAAGCCTTACTGATAAAAAAGGGAAGTTAATGCTTAATACAACTATGACAAACAATTAAATGATTTAAGTGAAGTTTTAAAAAAAATTAAAAAATTAAGTGAAATTCAATATCAAATAAAAAGATATTAGAAAAAGTTTAAAATTAAAAAAGAAAATCACTTAGTTGTTAGACTTCATTAAATAAAAAATTAAATGTATGAAGGTTTTTTTTTTTTTATAACCATTTGTATATTTTTAAATTTTAATGTTTTAAAATTTGAAATTTAATTTAGATGATTTATATAATTATTTTTCAAAAGTGATATTAGTGTGATTTAAGATACAAATTTTAGTATTTATAATTTCATTTTTTATTTTTAAATACAATCTTCTTTGCATCCAGAAAATTTTTAATGTTTTATTAAAATCAACATTTGGGTTAAAATTTCAAAGTAGGGAAGGCAATAGTATAAACAACAGTCCAATGTAGACAAAGCAACAAGTACAAAAAAAAATGGACATTTTACACTGTTCAATCCATTAAATAAGATTAGGAAACCTTATAAGAATAGCGTCTATTAATTAATTGTGGATCGTTAATTATAATGCAGGAATTATAAAGTGATAATATATGCTCCCACTGTTAATAACCTTAAGATACTCCCATTATTATTAGCCTTTAAGATACTACTTACTCAAACTTGATTGGAGACAATTAGCTTTTTAATATTTATATTATTTTTAACGTGTATATTACTAATACTGGTAAATTTATTTTATTAAATTCTTAATTATCTAATTATAAAATAATTTTGAACTTATGTATTCCATTTAAAATAATAAAATTATATAAGTTATTAATTAAGTTCGGATCTAGATATATCAAGATTAGCTATAGCCTCACAGATGAAAGTAAAATTGATTCATTTGTTTAAAAATATTTATTTTAGTTAATTTCGAATCAAATTATTTAAAATTAAATTAATTTATTAATATTATTTTATTTTTGTTAATTAAACTAAATTTTAATTTCAAAAATTAAATAATAAAAATAATTCGATTAATTTTTTTGATTAATCAAATAATAAAATATATTAAATTAAATTAAATTTTAAATTCTTAATTTTTTATATTTAAAATAAATTAAATAAAATTATCTAACAAAAAATGCAATTATTAAATTATTAAATTAAAAATTTTAATAACTTAAACTAAAATAGATAATTTCATATATTTTTAATTATATATAAATTTTATTATATTTCAATTAATTCAAATTTTGAATTAAACTAATAAAAGAATTCAAAAATTTTTTAAATTATTTTTAATAATCAATCAAAATTAATTTAATGAATAATCGATTAACTTAATTAAATTAATTAAAATCTAATTTTGAACATTTTTACATTTACCCAATTCTCCCTTTTATTTTTATTTTTTCTTTGGTAAGTTTGAAAATTGAACTAAAATCGAGGGATTAGGTGATATTTTTATTTCCTTCTTAATAATTAAAAAATATTTTTTTTTCGTATGGACGTAAAATTAATTATTATCCTGATTTGTATTTCTTCCTAAATAGAAACGCTTTTCAGTTAACCTACAGCCAGGTGTGAGTCATTAGAAGCTGCACACTCTGTCGGTTGCGCACGCAGCCAGTAACCCAAGCCACGTGCCTTTTCCACCCCGCGACTCCCATGTACAAATATAACTTCCTCCAAGGTGACGTGGCTCGAACTTATAAAAAAAAAAAAAAAAGGTTCATAAAAGCATAACTCCACTCTGCCACATTACACGCTCCAATATCTGAGACCACAGAACGTCAAACCCCTAGTCCTCACTCCCCTCACCATCTTGTCCGGACCGTTACTTCCGGTGAAGCTGCTCCCAAAGCCATCTTGATGCTTCCAAAATGCTCCCCGAAATCCCCTTGTTCTCCCCACTTCAGCTCCCCTATTTCCTCCCCTAACAAAACCAAAACCCCCCAACTGAATTCAATCGAACGCAAAAACTTCTTCAACTCCCTCCATTTGCAGCCTTATTTCTTCTTACCCAACCATAATCGCTTATGGCTGCTCTTATTCATCATCTCACTCCAGATAATCATCCTCCTCATGGCTCGCGCTGTTCCTCTCACCCATCGCCGAACCCACTTCCCTTCCCCCTTTTCCGCCAGTCATTACCTCCTCCAAAAATCGGCTAACATTTCATCAACCTTTTTCTCTTCCTCCCACCACCTAAAATCCGCCAACATTTCGGTTTCCCCCACTGTTTCACCATCTGACCAGTGTTCGTCCGGTCGTATATTTGTCTACAACTTGCCGGCTGTTTTCAACGAAGAGTTGTTAGATAATTGCGCTGAGTTGGACCCATGGCATTCACGTTGCCAAGCTTTATCAAACGATGGATTCGGAAGAAAAGCCACGGGATTATCCGGCGTCGTACCGAAGGATTTGATCCCAGCATGGTACTGGACCGACCAGTTCGCCATGGAAATTATTTACCACAACCGTATTTTAAACCACAAGTGTCGTACGATGGAGCCGGATTCCGCGACGGCGTTTTACATCCCGTTTTACGCGGGACTCGCCGTTGGAAAATACTTATGGTTTAATTATAGTTCAAAAGATCGTGATAGTTACTGCGATATGATATTGAAGTGGGTGCAGGATCAACCATACTGGAACAGTTCCGACGGCTGGAATCATTTCATGACGATGGGGCGGATCACATGGGATTTCCGGCGGTCCAAAAACGAAGACTGGGGCTCCGGATGTATCTACATGCCAGGTATGAGAAACATCACGCGTCTATTGATCGAACGAAACGCCTGGGACTATTTCGACGTCGGTGTGCCCTACCCCACCGGATTCCACCCCAGATCAGACTCCGATGTGCTGCAATGGCAGGACTTCGTCCGTAACCGTGACCGCAAAACCCTCTTCTGCTTTGCCGGAGCGCCACGTGGCACCGTCAAGGACGATTTTAGAGGCTTGCTATTGAGCCATTGCAAGAACGCGTCGGGGTTATGCCGGGCCGTGGACTGTGCTGGTTCCCGCTGCTCCAACGGCACTTCGGCGATCCTCGAGACATTTTTAGATTCTGATTTTTGCTTGCAGCCGAGAGGCGATAGTTTCACCCGCAGGTCCATTTTCGACTGCATGGTGGCCGGTTCGATCCCCGTTTTTTTCTGGCATCGAACGGCATATCTTCAGTACCAATGGTTTTTACCAAGTAATCCTAAGAGTTACTCTGTTTTTATCCACCGCAACGAGGTGAAAAACGGAACATCTATTAAAAGCGTGCTTGAAAGTTACAGTAAAGAAGAGGTGAGGACGATGAGGGAGAAAGTGATTGAATATATTCCCAAGTTAGTTTATGCAAAACCTGAAAAGGGTTTGGAGAGTATGAAGGATGCATTTGATGTTGCTATTGATGGTGTGTTGAAGAGAATTAAGGAGCAACAGCAGCCTGGGTACAAGTGGAAATAATGATTTGCAATTGCAAGCAGTTGATGGTTGAAAAAATATATATATGGACAATTAAGTTTGCAGAATAGATTTTTTTATATATATAAAAAAAGAATGGAACAGGGGCATTTCATGTCTATTCTTTCCCGACATTGTTGTATTTGTATTTTTGTTTGCATATAATAATAATAACATAGTAATATTTTTTATGGATGTTCTATTGAAGGGTGATTGCAGATGTAAATTGTTGGTTGCAGAGAAATATAGATGAGTTTTAGAGCTATTACTGGTGCGGCAGTAGGGGAGTTTTTACAGTTGAAGCGGTAATGATTGCTTCTGGCCTTTTACAGAAGGAAGAGAATCATGAGATATTGAGAAAGAACCACCGAGTTTGGAGGTGGTCCTGTAATTTGTACTGGCTGAAGGAGTGAATACGATTGGCCCGATGAGGATGGATGGAGTGGGGACAAGCATGGGAGGACAGCTGAGATTTGTGGGAAGCATGTGTAATTTGTTGTTCCTAATATTGATATGGACAGCATAAATATCATGTGTAATTATGGTTTTTGTTCATTAATGTCCCATTTAAATGAAATAATGCAAATTTATGATGAGTTCAATTGATAAGTATGGTATATATGCTCCACAATCTTCATTTTTACTATAAATTTTTTTTCTTTCCTGGAGTTTTTCCAGTCTAATCTAGTCGAAGATTATTAGAATTGTTTTAGGCCTTTCCCTTGATCGTTCGTTTTCTTTGTTTGGTTTCATTGTTTAAGACGTAGTGGCAGCAGCATATTGTGCAAATGACACAATTTGTCTGCAGCAGCACCAACGCTGAAGACCCAAACCAGCTGACGTTGGAAACAGAATCGTTTTTGTTAGGGAAAAATAACAGCTATGCAACAACCACGTACAAAATAACAAGCTCAAATCAAGAATAAGAACACACACATAATCCACTAATAAATAAATCTTTATACCTGTTAGACTTTTAGAATAAAAAAAATCTCCTAAAACTTCTTACTCAAAACTTAACCAAAAACTCTCAAAAACTCAATTACACCCTTTAATAGGGTACTTACTTAGCTATTCTATTGGTGTCTAACTCTCTGGGATTATCAAACTAAAACTAAAATATCTTATTTATAAGGGTGAAACCCCTTATACTTTTATTAAACTCCCGATGTGGGATACAAGACAAACTCAAACTCACATAACTTTCGATGTGGGATTTTGAGATTCAAGGCAAATCCCAACAAATCTTCCCTTGACTTGAATCTTCAAACACTTCAATGGTATCTGCAAAGCTAACACGCTTATCTTTTTTCTTTTCTTTCATCACAGGCATCTCAGCAACTGAGCCTCCATCAAACATGTACAAATGATCATTGACCCTATTTTCTTATAGAATCACACTACCATTTTTGTACACTTTCAACCAATCATTACTATAATAATATGTGTACCCCTGAGAAGCTAACTCACCCAAAGCAATCAATCAAATTGTAGTGACAACTTGGTACATACCTTACATGACGAACCATCGAAGCATCCTAATAACACCATCGTGAGATCTAAGGCGAACATTCTCAATGCCTTGAATCTACACCTTTTTTTTGTTAGCAACCACAATATCTCCATACTTTTCATTCTCATTCAACTCCACAAAGTAACTCCTATCATTGCAAACATGAACTGTAGCAGCTGAATCTAAAATCCAACTTTTATCACTTTTCAAAGTCTGAGTCTCATCCACACAAGTTATCAAAACAACATCATCATCATCAAACACGACAATAGCAATATCACTCTTTTCTTCATCTGATTTTTTCTCATCATTCGCCTTTTTGAAAGCAGCCATATGCCTTCTCAGCTTCTTGCAGTGCACTTGGATATGTCTCTTCTCACCACAATAATAACATTCTACATCACTGTAATCACTGTCTCTTGACTTAGATCTCTATCTTGATTCATCAATCCTCTTTTGAGTCATTCCACGATCAAAACCCTTTACAGTTAGTGTACTCCCCCTAGGTGATGACCTATGAGCTCTCATAAACCTTTCATTCTCACGCAACAAAACAATCACATCATCCAACTTCAAAGTAAACCTGTCTACCAACACAGTCTGAACTAAAAATCTCTAAGACTTGGACAAAGATGACTGCAAAATTAAAGCCTTCTCTTCATCTTTAACTCATCAATAGAAATTGCTAGCAATTGAGAAACCAATCTATTAAACTCATTCAGGTGATTATGAAGATTCATACTTTCTTCCATCTTCAAAGAATACAGATCCATCTTCAAACATAATCTATTAGTTAACGACTTCGAAGCATAAATACCTTCAAGCTTATCTCACAAACTTTTCAGAGTACTCTCAGTCAATACACTTTACTTTATTTCTGGAGCTAACGTCAATCTAATAGTACTAACAACATTCTTTTGAATCCTATTCCAATTAGCATCAGACATTTCTTCAGGTTTACTACTCTCTAATGCCTGATCCAACCCTTGTTGTACTAACAGATCTTGAATCATACTTTGTCATAACATAAAATTACTCTTTCTATCAAATAACGAAATCTCAAACTTAGGCATAGACATACCAGACATATCTTCTTCAGACATCTTGAAGCAGGAAACACTGCTTCATGATCTTTTAAGCCCACGAACCTTAAACCTCGAATCTCGCTCTGATATCACTTGTTGGAAAAACAACACCCACACGCAGCAACCACACACAAAATAGTAAGCTCAAATCAAGAATAAGAACACTTGTTCGGCCCAACTAAAAATGGCCTACTCTAAACACAATCCACTAATAAATAAATTTTTACAACTGTGAGACTTTTAGAATGAGAAAAGTCTCCTAAAACTCCTTACTCAAAACTTAACCCAAAACCCAATTACACCCTTTAATAGCCTACTCACGTAGCTATTCTATTGGTATCTAACTCTCTATGATTATCAAACTAAAACCAAAACATCTTATTTAGGTGAAACTTTTTATACTTTTACTAAACTCTCAATGTGGGATACAAGATAAATTCAAACTCACTTAACTTTCGATGTGAAATTCTGATATTCAAGTCAAATCCATAGTTTTCTCAAATTGGCTTATGATTGGAATTGGAAGAAGACAGTGAAACATATTCAAAAGAGCTTATATAATATATAAGAACCTGAATATCTTTAATGATAGGCCTTTTCAGGTGAAAAAGGGCATAACAACAAGGAATATCAATCTTTTCTTTTGTTACTTTCTCAAAAATTTTTTCCTTTCCCTCGAGCCACTAAGCATTGCTCTTCTTTTATATACTTAGAAAAATATTGTAGGCCATGGACAAGGAGAAAGCGGCATGAGTTTTTCTAATTAAGTTACATTCAAACCAAAAAAAAATAAAAAAAATAAAATGACAATGTCTCTGATCGTGGAATCATTCTTGTTGAAGCAACAATGCAATTTGGTAGGGCAAGCAACAATAAGTACTATACGAACATAATTAATTTTACAGCAGGATATAGTTTAAGACAACCGAGGTGTGGAGTTTAGATCAATTTCAATTTTCAACTTTCATCAGGAAAAAAAGAGAGTAGAAAATACATGTGATACTGTTATATGACACCACACGCAAATCATCATCGGCGACGATCAAGGATAGAAACCCTTGAACTGCATCAGCATCTGTTATTGTTATAACTAAAATTAAATTATTTCAACTGGTGGGTCAGGGTGAAATTTATGTTGAAACATGTTGAACGCGACTCCTAGCTATGGCTATAATGCCATGAGAAGTTTTTGCTCCAATAGGACCGTGACTACTGACTAGTGAGTGGCACTCAAATGCTTAGCTTCTCCACAAAATGTTGCATTAACTTGTTAAAAAAAAAAAGATAAAAAAAGGTCATGAATTAGTAGTTCAAGATTTGGTTTAGAAGTTGCTATTACCAGCACTTCATTTGGTAGATTAGGGGAAAAGAACTGCCTCCCGTGCCTTTGGTTTCAACTAAACTCGATTATCCTTGGGCTATAAGCAGAAAATGAAATCATTTAATTATATGTCTAATCTTGATAAATGAAATCATGTAGCCAAATTTTGTAATAGTTCTTTCTGCTCCTATTTGATAAAAAGATAAAATGAAATAAAATGTGATCCATATAAATTAGGATGGTAATCTTCCCTTCCCATACTCTTATCCATACATGAACACTAAAAGTATCGATGGAACTGAATTCATTACCAACAATTCTTATAATCCCTTTTTTATGTTGTTTTCTGTCAATTTTCTTTTTTATTTTAATTCGTGAATATCAATTTTCTCAATAATTCAGAATTTCTATTGATTTCTTTTGTCCAATTTCTGATGAATAGACATTTCAGTAGCATCTTATTGGATAAGATGCTAATAATTGAGTGGTTTTGATGCACTTCCTCTATTAAATGATACTTTTTTTTCTTTCATTTTCTCTGAAACGTTCAAACAAAAGCAAAGCTTTGCATGAACTATTGAACATTACAAAATTACACACCTGTTTACTGACTCTTGCTTTTCAGAGAACCATGCATCGAAAAAGGCCCCAAACTCCTGACCACACAGAAACCTTATAATCTTTTCCCTAATTTCAATTAACCCCAACAAATGGCTCGTCTTAACCATTATCACAGTATATATTATTCTTTCTCCTTCAAGTATTTCTCATCCTTTTTTCTTCATGATGGCTGGGACTACCGCGATATTGGTGTTCCTTACCCTACTGGATTTCACCCAAGACCTGTTTTTGACTGCATGCATGGTGGCTGGTTTAATCCCAGCATTCTTTTGGAAACGGGAAAAGGTAATATTAAATATATTCCAAAGCTTTTTTATGCAAAATCTCTAAAGGCCTTGGAGAGTACAAGAGATGCATCTGGTGTGGCTGTTGAGGGGGCGTGAAGAAGATTCAAGAGGCCAAGGAATTAAAGATGTTGCTAATTTCAATTTTTCTTCGATTTGTTGTACCGTTTTTTTACCGG